GGGGGGTGCTACGAGAGGCAGACTAGTTATGGACTAAACATTTTGATATTATCTTGCTCAAATAGTTGATTCTAGATTCAAATACTTATTTTCGCGATGGGCAGACAAAGCTCTTACCACTTAAGAAGAGGGAAATGGTCAACATTGGACCGTCATACCAAACAAGGCAAAGCCCAAATCTATTATGACTTAATGTGATACAGCTATATATGGAAAATCATTGTTAATTGGAAAATTGTGGCTCTTGATGGAGTAGAATGGGTGAAAATGTTGTATCCGTGCTCTAACGGTAATATTTTTTTGATGAAATACTTTTCTACTTGGTTATAAAATCGCTATCGCGTTGGGGGATCTAATAGATTTCGTCTCAGCCTGCAAATTTGAAAATTTAATTTAGTTAGAAACAAAAAAGTCCTAGAAACGAGACTAAAGTTGATCTTTCTAAATGAGGATGAGAAGAACAAAAACCGTATTAAGATTTGAATTTTATTCTTTTCTATATATTGTTACTAATTCCTTCATCAATCATGGAGTCCTTAAAAAAGTTGCATTAATTTTTTTGTATGATTCATGAAATCAAATTTTCAACGATATGTCTATATTAATAGGTCTTTATATTGATAGGTAAGTTTCTTGTAATTTAAAGCTCATGTGATTATGTATTAAATCTGGCGTTAGGTATGATGGCTACTGGAGCGATTAATGTGGTAAGGGGGTCGAGGTCATCTGTTGAAGAGCTGTGGCAAATATACAACCACTCTGAAAGGTTAGGGAAGAAGTTCCCTCTCAGATGTATGTTCTGTTCATTTTAGTTAGACTTTTCTGTTGTGATCTTGATAAATAATTGATTGCGATTGATAATTCTCATAAGAATCTTTGTAAGTTGAGTAAAATGTTGCTATGATTCTCCGTCTAATTTAACTTGATAGTATATTCTTTATTACATGAGTGTGTTCATATTAATTTTTCTTTGTTAGTGCAAGTCATACATCCAACATAAAATATGCCAGATCCATGATGAACATAAGCCTTGAAATAGATATGTAAATTGTGGAGCATTCTCCTTGAGCGATGCATTGTCTATATCTTGATGTTCTGTAAAAGGGGCAAAGGGACATCGCATTTTGATCTCTTGGATTTGATGAAAAATGTGCAAGGGTTCTTACATTGCTACAGATAAGCGTGAGTAAAGAAGCTAATGTAGGATATTAAACTTACGCCAGCAATTTGGAATATGGAAATCCTAACAGGTAAATAAATGCAGTTAGTTGAAAGTTAAAAACATGAATAAGAGAAAAGTTACTATAACACATGTTGCGGAAATTACCAAATGAATTGAATTGGAATTGATATTGACACTCACAACCAAGCGGAAAAGTAAAAGAACAATTTGACGAGTTTCGGCTAGAATTTACAATCGCCCACATCCATGGCAACAACAATAAATTTTTTTGACTTGCGATAAAATACTGGAGTACAAATTTGTGAACGAGTTCTACATCTCACAAGTACCTGTCCATAAAAGAGGATGCATTCTATCTTACTGATATCTCTCCAATATCGCATGTTTCTTGATATCTTGAGCCCCTACTAAGCAATTCCTTTTATAGAGAACTTTAGTGAGGTAATGAACAATTTAATCAACACGCCTAATAGAGAGCAGGATTTGGTGCCGCAAAATTTTCAACTGATGCATGCATGGCTTGCCTTTAGTGTGTAGCCCATCAACATTTAGCCTCCTTTCTTGAATTTCTCGTCATCATCTACGACATTAGGCCAATGCATGGCCTGCCTTTAGTGTGTAGCCCATCAACATTTAGCCTCCTTTATTAAATTTCTCGTCATCATCTACGACATTTGGCCAATATGGTCAGCAACATGCGTACCAAAAACTTCATTATACTAGAAAAGATAGGCATATAAATCAAGTTGGATAATATATCAAAGTTTTAAATTCAAAGATTGAATGAAAAGGCCAAAATTTTAGGGGAAGAAGCCTTGCAGACTCAAATTAGTTTCAAGAAGGAGAAGATGAGTCCCATAACAAATCCCAATCAAATCAGAGGTATCAACATTCAAATAACCAAGATATGTGGCAAAAATATAAAGGTAATAATTGGGGTGAACAATGTGATAAATCTAAGATAAAGTGCTACTATTGTGGAAAATTAGGGCACTATAAAAAGGACTGCTACAAATTAAGGAGACCCGATAATAAGAATTATTATGCTAAAATTGCGGAGGGCAATGATAATAATTCAGACGTTTTGTTTTTGGCTGATAGTGCATTGATGTTCGAAAGAACAAATGGTTTTTGGATTCAGGCTGTAGTCATCACATGTGTGGTTACAAGGAAATGTTCACTGTATTGAATGAATCTGTTCAATCAGATATTAAGTTTGGGAATGAAGTAGTGTTGTTTCTAGGAAAGGAGATAGGATAATATTTATTAAGCTTGTAATAGGAATGTTAGAGTTGTATTTTATATTGTTCTTGTCATTGAAGGGTTCTGATATATTTGGAGGTTGGAGGACATGCAGTTTCGTTGTGCCAATGCCCATTGTGGCTAACTCTCTCCCAACCATAGTCCTTTTTTCTTGTACACGTAGTCTCTTTCTCGAGCAGATTATTCCATGCCCTGCCACTCGGTGTATATCAGATGTCAAACTTAAAAGTATCCTGCAGATGATACTGTAAAGCCAAATAAAGCCAAAGGAATGTGAGAAATATCTGTGGGAGAGAGAGCATACATAAAGGGCACTTCATTTATCACGTAGTAAAAGATCATGGAGAATAGAAGATAGTTCAAGGTGGGTATCGGTTTGGAGGTATAAATGATGTTGGGGGGCTTGTCTTTGATTTTGTAGCGGCATATGATTGTAGAAAACACGTAATTTATGAAGAGAAGCTGATCATTCAAGAGCTTTTAAAAGTAGATTACACAAGGGTTTATATAGATTTTTATATCCACGTGAAGCCTTCTGATGCAGCAAAGACCTAGATGTCGTAGCAAACAATTAGAATTAAATCAAACAATAGATAATAATTGATAATAAACTGAGAGAGCTCTAACAGTTAATAAAAGGTGAGGACAAAATATAGTGATTCTAAGGCTTGTGACATACCAAAGACTGAGAATCTGAATCTCTGGAGAAAATAACCAAAAAGTTCCTAATGGTTAGAGGAGAGTTCCCTAATAAAAAAAGACCATATGAAAATTAAGCTAGTCACATGATGGGTGACCAAGGAAGCCATGGGAGTCTTTGGGCATTGCTTGGGCTAAGTCAAGTTTGGGCCGACTTAAGTCTGGCTACTTAGAAATTAAACAATAAAAATGAAAACCTCCCCCTGAACATCACTAAGAAATCGTTTTTCTACTTTTTTTTTGTATTTCATTCTAACTTAGGTACTCACATGACCAACATCTGATGAAGACAAGCAAAATAACCAAAGAAAACTAATTGGAATACAACAAAATAGCCTAGTAATCTGATAAGTGAGCCTCCCAACATTCATAAGCACTTGGATGCTCTTGCATCAACCTTCCCCCGGGGAAAGGGGGGAACTCAGTTCTTATGAGAAATCAACAACAATACTTTGCATGCGCTTCAGGATTAATGTGTATTAGCTGTTCCACAATAGTCCATGTATTTTGTTGCCTGGTTTCCCAATCTCTCACAAAAATCGGTAACTGAGTTATTATAAGAAAACTTAGCTTGAAGAAAGTGTCATCTCATATATTCATATGATCTCCTATGATGTGGCATAACAGGTTTCCCAAGTTCCTTTTGACCATTAGTTTGCATGTGTCAAGCACTGGAATGCCTTAGTTTTGTGCCTAATCTTCTTTACAATGATCTCCAAAAATGCCCCATACACTTCACATTGATCTGACACGATAGCGTTGGAACCCCATGAAGGTTTTTAATCTTTTTAAAGAACAATTCATCAACTCATAAGGCATCGCCAATCCTTGACTGTGGGATGAAATTTACCATTTTGGAGAACAGTCTACGACTACAAAGACGGAATCATGTCCGCTGTCCGAGGCAATCCTGGCACAAAATCCATGTTAATATGTATGCATGGTGCATCTGGTTTTGACAACACATTGTATAAATCTGTCTTTTTGCTTGATTATTTACTGATTGACATTTTTTACACCACTTCACAAATCTGTCCACATCTTGATACATCTTTGCCAAACAAATGATCCAATATCATTCCTAATGTTTCATCTCTGCTAAAATGATACATGCTAATATGTCTACTGGTCTTTTGACTAATGGGTTTTTTTGACGTCTTTTTACTAAAGAATCAGATTGGCAATATACGGCCATGTACGGAAATATGAAAAATTGAAACAACAGTGTCATTTGCCAAAAATAATAGGATGTTCCTTTTTTCCTATAGACAATGGCAGAAAAATAGTAGCATATGATTGTCGTCTTTAAGTCATTGAAGAGTTGCCGCTACTCAGAAAAAGAGTCACAACCTCGAGCTATATCAGGAGAAGTACAGTTTTGAAAAATAATGAAAAATGGAAAGATTTTATTCACCCCTACTCTTTACCCTTCTTTTTGGGAGCAGGATATTTATTCAAAATATGAGCGAGTTTGATTTCCAGAGAGTGACATACATAAGGAATGGGGCCTAGGGGACAAAGAATTGAGGTGGTTTTGCCATTAACTTTTTGTGACTTATTAATTCTCTTTGTAACAACTCTCTCTCTCCTTCCCTACCTCTGTCCCTCCTAATCCCTCAATCACATTTGCAATGGCAGTATTGTCAACTATTTATTAGGAAATTAAAATGCAGAATATCATACCAGCAACGACAAAAGAATGAAGCATGATGTCCTATAAATCTCCGATTTCGTCCTCTATGAAATATGATTACTTCATATTTTTCCCCTTTGTTACGTGAACCACTGGTAACTAAATCCTAGCATGAGGTCTCCAGCAATATCAGTTGCCTTTGATTTCGGTCTTAAGGTGCTCCCACCTCATCTGCAACCCATTCTTTGATGTTAATTTTCATGTGAGGTAAGACAACCTTCTAATCATGTACAAATGATTCTCTTTAATTAATGGAGGTAACTGACTCCCCAGAAGTCAAGTTGATACCGTCATTTAACTAGAGTTCAAAATTTCTGTTGTTGGTGGGTGACTTAATAATGTTGTTGGAAATGACTAGGGATATGTCTGATGTCACTGTACAGGTAAGATACATGCATATTATCTATTGATACTTTCGTCATATTTTTGTGACACTACTAAAGTCCTATTCCTTAATGTCTCATAAGGACTAATTACTTGATGTCTGTAATTTTTATCTTATGTTTACACACTTATAGAAATAACAAAAAGTTTATTTTCTTGTCAATATTACTACAGTGTTGCATTTGCTGTGGACAATCCTGAATTGTGCAACCGGATTGCAGAATCATTCCTCTCCCGAGCAGTTATACGGTTTATCATCCTACTTTGGGGGGAGAAATCATGCCTGTCAAGTGAAGCAGTGAAGGGATTGTCTGTTTATAATTATAAGGAGGTCTTAGATTTGGGTCGTGAGAGTCGTATGGTTTTGGTTGATTCTCAAGATGCTAGTAAGTCAATCTGCAGTAAATTATAAACGTATGTTTTTTTGCTGTGAAAACTTTCTTACCAGATCATACCTTTATTCATCTGTTTCATTTTTGAGAATGTTTATAAGAAAAGTTGTTGTGGCTTGTTTCTAAAGCAAGAGACATATCTTAATAATATGGCTCCGAATCTCTAGAGTCTACAACTTTCAATGATATATGTTATTCATATTTTAATGCGTGATTGTTATGTTCTTTGGAAAAAAAAATGGCTCACAATAAATCATGATGCCATTACCTCTTCCTGACTGAGCTCCTCAAGAGTTATGGAACTTTGCCTGTTTATAACTCATTATGTGTATTTTGAGTAATTATGTTAGTACCATTTTTTTAGAGCAGACCTAGGCATGATAGGAAGTTGAGACTTTGGCATAGTAGGAAGTTGCTCCATCGTGACCTGGCATCACGAGTTTGAGTTAAGAGACTGCATCTTTGCATTGGGTAAAGCTGTGTACATTTGACCCTCCCAAACCCTGCAGTGTTGGGACCTCGTGCAATAGACTGCCCTTTCATGTTAGTACCATTATTCAACGCAAAAAGGTGCCTTCCCACAAATTAATGCGCATATCAATTTGGTTGGTATTAGACATTTTTATGCAAACTTATAGAAACATGAGCTTATTCAATGTCCACTTTTAGTCTGTGAGAAATTCTTTCTTAGTTTTGCTTTTCTTCAGCTGGGTTTGGGTTTTTTGTCCCCTCGCACGCATGGGTGGAGTTTCAAAACATTGAATATTTAGCTCTGCAATAAATTCTCATAATGCATATTATGACTATATTGAACATAGATACTATGTTCATCATATCACGATACATACTAACTGTTTATTGTTCACCATTAACTAAGAACTATGTTTAAAATCAATTTGGGCAAAATGGGCTTTAGAATTTGTTATATTTCAAGTCTGATCATTGCATGGCACTAGGAGCTCGTTTTGTTGCCGTATTGCAGAGGGTATTAAAGAGTCATATAGGTTTATAGAACATATCAACCGTGTATTTTTAATAACATCAAATGGAAGCCAATTTTAATACCACCTAGGAGGTGGTATTGAAATCCAGTCTAAAGGTATTATGTTATTATTTTACTGCCCAAAACTACCGTAACCCATATAGCTCATGTCTCTTCCCACCACAACTTTCTTCATTAGTTCATGTCTCTTCTTTCATGTCCACTTCTGTTCTCCATGAAAATCCCTCCTCTTCGTTTGGCAGAGATCCTTCCCATCCTTTATCCATTATCAACTAAGTAAGGTAATTTTTTTTATCATTGATTGTTTGGATTTAATATATTTTTCTTATTGTACAAATTCAAGTAAAAAAATTAGATTAGTTCAAATTGAGGGTATTTTGGTCAATGTGATACTAAAACCATGAGATTCGTATACGAAACAAACGTAAGATTAGACAATATAACTGTTATATAGATCTTAATCCGATGTCATACCAAATGCTGGATAGAATAAAAAGTATTTTTAACCTCTATTCAATCTTGTATTTTATCCACCAGGATTACTCATCCAATCCCTTTTTTTATTAATACGACAATCAAACTAGCCCTTTTTGTTTTAGACCACAATTTCGTAGGGGGATTTTGAATGGTTTTAATATTTTATCATCAAGCATGACTAAGGTTGTTCACAGTCAAATTGTCTAAACTAGCTTATTGGTGAATTTGCATGCTTTTGAAAATTATCCAGTATTTTTTTATAAATAACCACTTTATTGTGGTTCTTATTGTGAGCCTTTATTATATGCACTCTTCACGGTGGAAGGATTATGGGATAGTTAGGGTCTATTTTTTGACATTGCTTTGAACTTCAGTAACTAGGGATTTGAGGATGTTCCTCTCTTGTGCATGATGGTGGGCTGGTTTATTGTTTGGTTTCTATGCAGTTAAGGTTTTCCATGTAATGTTCTTTTGGAGAGCATGGTTTGGTGGACCACTTGTCCACCATTCAACTTATGAATGGTGAAATAGCTATAAACCCAGTGTCATTTGAAATGCAGGCAACTTTACCATGAGCTATCTAACAGTCTGTCAGAACTAACATTATGCATAAGCCAAGAAAGGGTACTTATATGTATCTTGTATATATATTTTAGATGAACATAGATTATATTTGTGACTTACACTATGGAATGAACTAGTTCAAGTCTGATTTGTACTTTTTGAATGCATGCATATGTAGGTTGACTTTAGTTTGAATATTTTTTGTCATGTTTTTTTGAACCTTTTCTTTTCACTTATACGCCAACTTGTGGGACACTTCAAGTAATATGTATTTATTTATTTATATTGTGTATAAATATAAATGTGATCATGTGATAAATAAATATATTTTGATAATAATCATTCAATTCATCATTTCTTTAATTCTAACAATTCACATCATGATATCATCGAATTAAAAAATAAATACCACATATACCGATACACACACATCATAAATATTCATGATTCAACAATCAAGGACTACTCAATTTCCATTTTCAAAAATATCCCAAATCGTAACCCTAATTTTCATTAATTTCAAAAGAGCCCCAATTTCATAACATTTTTTTAATCACATTGCTTTCATATAGAAATTTATTCAATTTGTATGTAATTTTGTAATCATGTCCAAAATTATGTTGTATCCTTGTCCTTTATAATTCCATTTGCTTTCATAACCTCTTTCTACATTATGTGTTTGATTCATATTTCTGTAAAATATAAAAATAGCTTCATTTATTATAAAGTTGTTAGACAAGTTTCCAAAAATTTGAAAACAAATCTCTAAACATGCATTGAAAAAAAATTAATAATAAAAAAATTAGACACTCATTTTAGTGTGTCTGGCACGCAATTGTCCGACGTGTGTGTCCTAGACATGTTTGACACCAACACTCTCATCAAAATGAAGTGTCCGTACTTCCTAACTCCAAAATTCCCTTTTTTCTTTTAAGTTAACCTTCTAGAAGGTAGGGGACTAACATTAGGTGGAAACAAAGAAACTGATTAAACTAATTTCAGGGCAACGATACATGTGCGAAGCCATCAACTCTGATGATGTTGCTACACTCGTGTACACAAGTGGAACCACTGGCAATCCAAAAGGTGTTATGCTTTCACATAAGAACCTCTTACACCAGGTTTGATTGTTTTTACTTATTCATCATTTTGTCATTTTCTTGTAAGGTTTATTTTTTATTTTTTTTATTTTTTTTGGGGGGGGGGTTTGTAATCATTAAAGTTAATTTAAGGAAGCGTGCACTCCTTAGAGAGAACAAGTTAATAATACTTATCGTTGTATTCTCCCACTAATGCTATGGCCCCTTTCATTTTTGATTTTTTTTATTCTAAAATGCCTCCAAATAATTCCCTCTTTGTAAGTAATTGAGATAATATTTAAGATCATGAAGTCTTGTATTTTTTATTTTCATTCTCTTTTTAGTGCTGGACGATATTATTGCCTTCGGCATTATGCTCCCATAGGATCATATAGAGGAATAGTCTAAAATGGAGGTATGGAATGGGCAAGAATCATTCCAAATGGGGATTTTCCAATTATCCTGGTATATGCTTTTGTGTGCAAACTTGGCTTGAGGCAAATATTGAGTCTCACTGGCTATGTTTCAATTAAGCATCTCAATGAAATCTCCATTGTAATTGATTAATTCTTTTGCCTCTCTCTTTGGGAACATAACCACAATGGGATTGCATTAGAATCCCACTTTACTCACCAATATTGTATACAGTTTGTTATTTTTAAGATTTTCCACATAGTTTTGTGAAGCTTTGGTTGGATATGTCATAAACTCTTTTTCCAGGAAAGGGAAGTGGGGTGAAGGAGTGACCAGAAGGGGCGTATTTGAGCCACTAAAATTGTTTTTGCCTAGCTGTTGTATAAATGGACTCAAACTAGATGAATCTAAAGTCTTGACTAACTTTTGCACTTGACTGTTGTTTGTGACCTCATACCGCCAGTGAAATTGTTGGATGAACAGTAGAGGGTAAATGGGTCAACCAATTCGTTAAAGATATGGATACCTACATTTTGCTTTCTCCCATTAGGGTACGAAGAATTCAAATCTAGTAATTGTTTAATGCATTATTGTTGCCTCCTCAATGAGAGATGGACGGTTTAAGTAAATAGGGAAACAGAGAAACACGCATGTTAATTTTATGATAGTTATTTGGAATAGATGAATGTCCGATGAGGACAGTGTATAACTTGGATTGTTTGGAAGATTTTTTTTTTTTTTTTTCT